TTTCCTTGGTGGGGGCCTTGTATTTATTCCAACCAATTGAAACATTTGGACTTAAGCAGTTAGCCAAAACATTCATTTCAATAGCCTTTCAGTTGGTAAAGCTTTGAGTTCTGTATTCTGCTGTGTTGTACTGTTGCTGCTGTGTAAATCCAAGGTAGCATGTCTATACTAACTGGAATCGCCAGGATGTGACTGAGGGCAGGGCTGGACACTTGGTTTGCTTCAGACTGATGTGTAAACCCAGTATTAGAGTCATGATGGTAAAGCTGCAACATTTAAGAATAAAAAGACAAGCTCGATGTTTTGGGTTGATGGGTGCAAGCTGAGTGAAGGGCTGTGCTGCCCAGAAGCAAGAAGGAGCTTGTTGGAATTGCCCTCAGTGGTGTTGAAATAAAAGTAAAATGCTTATAGAAGTTATCTTCTCCCCGTAAGTGTACTGATTTTGACTTTCTTCATGGAACGAAAGGTAAAAACATACATACAGACAATTTACCTTGGCTCTTATTCTGATGCCTATTCTGAAATATTCTGGCTTAAGTAATGGTAAGAATTACTGAAAAAGAACAGAGGCAGAAGGAATGTGAGGCTGTGAGAGGGACAATGTGCATGTTCTGCTTTTTTACCAGCCACCTCCTGAAACTGTTTTGGGGGCTTTTAGCGTAATCAGAATGACACCAAGCCAGTTCTCGTTTTAGAAACAGCTTTCAATCCTAGTCTGCTTGTGCTTTCTTTTATCCCTCAAACTGGCTTCATAAGAAAAGCCTCTCAGTCTCTGGTACCTGTTTGCCATATGGAACAGCAGGCTCCCGTGAGGATGGGGGCAGATGTCTGATGCAGCCGGCTGCAGCTGCTGCCTCTTCCCTCAGGCAGTCTGTGCATGACTTGATCTGTACTCTCCAGCCAGGGAACACAGATCCCTGCATGTCCCTGCCCTGGGAATTGTTCAAAGCCTAGCAAACATGTGCTGAGTTTTCCAATAATCATTGGTTTTGTCTTTTCATTTTTCCTTAAGAGCTGTTTTCATTTAGTTACTCTGAATAGGCAGCCTTGCTTCACCTTTGTATCAGTCCTTTTACATTAATAAGAATGGTAAGGTTCCTTTTTAGATGTAGACTTAACGTTTTTTGATCATGCGTGTGTATGTCACACAATCTATGTATAAAATAATCCAAAGTAAAACGACTGATGCACACTCTGGAAAAACATGTTCTTTCCATCATCAGATAAGAATGAGCCACAGCAGTTGATTCAAGCTGGGAACCACTTGTTTACATGGGCTGGTGTCATGTGGAGACATGCTCACAGCCACTGGTGGCTTGTGCAACTTGTGGAGGTGCAGTGAGTTGCTGTGTGCACAGAAAGAGTTGGGGGGGGTGTGAGGTGCCAGGGTTTCATTGGGTTGTTCTCAGTCCCCAGTAGAACTTCCCTGCTGCTGTGTGAAATGGGTGGATGGGGTTGTGGGGTGTCTCTTGTGCCTTGGTGGTGGAGGTGAAGTGGGGTGCGTCATGGGGATGTCATACCAGATGGAGCATGGAGTGATGTTTTGTGATTTGTGGTGCTCTGCTTCTGGCCCCACTGTGTCTGTCCCTATTATGCAGATTGGCAAAAGGTCTGGGTGCTTTTTCCCTTGTGGTGTTGATGGTAGAAAAAGGCTATTTCAGGAACAAGTAGCTTTGATTTTGTTCTTATTTTTGGCCTTGAAAAGCTTGAACTTATTTACTACTGGACCGCAAAGGTACATTAGAGAAGAGTAGGAAAGTGGAAGCAGTTCCTGTAACTGTTTACAGTGCTCACTGCTATTTTTTGTAAGATCTTTCTAAAAGCATCCCCAACATGGCCTGCATTATGGCTTCTGACTTTCTTACAGTAGCGTATCACTCACTTCATACTTCTGGTGCTAAGGCAGTCTGCTGCTCTGCCAGCCTGCTCAGAGAATCTGTTTACTGACTATGCCTGGGGATTGCAGAAGCTGGTAAACATTCTAATTGTTCTAACTCTGAATAATAATTGATCCTGCCTACATAGAGAGCTTTCAGAGACGCTGCATTGAACTCATATTTGCTTGTGTGGGTGTGAAATGGCTGTGTAGGGGATATTCTTTGGAAAATGATGCATTGCTCTATCTGTAAGCTTTCTTGCCACATCTGTTCTGTTTGGATCTTCATATCCACCATATCTAATAACAGGACATAGAAGATATCAAAGTTACATTGCATTAGTAATTGTGGCACCAGTTGTTGTTAGCACTGACAAGATACCACCTTCTTCAACCTCTCCTTAGGTTATTTTCAAAAGTCAAGGACCTTTTGCTTCCTCGCTGCCCTGGTGGTGTGCTGAAACAGTGCTCTAAGTTATACTAAAACTTACCAAAGGAAACAGTTTAGAAAGGTTGAGTTGAAGTACGCTGCAGGTACAGGAAATCAGAAAAGCTTGTGCTTTGCATGTAGGGCTTTTTAGGAAGATTGGATTATTTTTTTCTTTTTTCTTTTTTCCTTTTTTGCATTGCAAATGGACTGTGAAAAAATCCATGTGCCAGAGAATAGATTTGGTCACTGCAGAGATATTTGAATAAACCAGTGAAAGCAGTCCTGAGAATATGCAGTGAGTGTAGGTCATGCAGTCCTGGATTGTTTCTACTGTGGTGGCAAAATGTACTGTGGGTAGGCAAGGGACAACAAATGAATCATTTAAAGATGAATGGAACAGATTGTCTTTATGATATGAGGTGTACAGTTCTGGCAGTTCACATCCACAGTTGCACAAGCACTTCTTGTGCATGGAGCTGCTCAGAGTACATAGGAAGCAAGGAATTGTATTTCAGAATGAACTCTTCCAAATACTGAAGCTTCTGTAAGTTGCTTGGATTTGTTAGACAGTCAGTCGTAGAGTTAAATTCTAATTTATCCTACTGAATATTTAACAATGTGACAGTCTGACAAGGGATAAATGGCCTTATTGTCTGTTCATTCGTGATGATAGTGTCAGCAAATCTTCATGCTGTTAAAGATGCATGGGCAAGACAGATGGAAGATGGCAATTACATGCACGTGCTGGAAAACTGGAAGGAAAAAGAAAAGCACTGGTTGGAAAAATCCTTATTCCCAGAAAAAGGTTTCATAACTGCAAAATGAATGGGAATAAAAAAATGGCTTTTCATTAGTTATTTTATCTGCTGGGTTTTCAGGGAAATGTGGAAATCCGAGCTTGTGTGCGAAAGGTATGAACAGGAAATCTTTTTTCTTCGTTTTGCATGAAGATAGAAAGAAAAACATTGTTTCTCTTAAATGTAAGCCTTAAAGAAAGAAGTGTTTCCCTCCCCCCCCATTCCCTGAGCACTGAAGTGCTGCATTTTTATATTGCTGTATACAAATGGAGATAGGAAGATGTCTTCTTTGAAACTTGAAACAGCTGCATGAAATACTTTCACTCGTGATGACTTTAAACCTCATTGCTTCCCTATTTGGCTTGAATTTTATTTCTCCTATTTCAGGGATTTGCCTTCAAGCTTATGACGATGCATAGAAATGCTCAGGAGAACAAAGTTATGTTTGCAAATCTAAATTACCTGATGAAATCTACCATTCACCATATGGTGGATTTCAGTCTCCTGTAACGACAGCCTGATGCTTGTAACAGCCCTTGCACTTCAGTAAAGCTGCATGAGTCAGGGCTGTCATGAAGCAGGAAGCAGTGGTGTGAGAAGGCACTGGGAATATCAGCAGCTCTGCTGACGAAGTAAGCAATGGCTTTCCTATCTTAAAGGCTGGACTTTGTCCAGGCACGTGGTTATGCTCAGTCTTTGACTGAAGAATAATGGAATGATTGTAGATCAGCCTGAAAAACATGCGTGAGTGCAAGGGATTGATATGGTAAGAAGACAGTGTGAAATGAGGATGTTTTTTAAAATTGAAGTTGCATAGTCGGCATTCAAAGGCTGTTGTCATAGGAAGCACTGTAAATAACCATCGGTGTAAGTGTGAGCCTTTTTGAATAATTACAGCTGAATTTTACCAAAAATGTGGATAGTGAGACAAGATGGGGGAGAGAACCATAATAAGCAGGCGCAGTTGAGAAATGCTTAAAACTGGACTATGCTGGGAGGGAGTTGCATTCCATAGCTACAGTGATTCAAATGTTTGTTACTTGTGTGGACTTCCCCTTGGACCGCCAAGTTTATGCATCCTTTGTTTAGAAGCAGAGAGCTGGACCAGGCCACCAAGAGCACTGCTGCTAGACATGGCTGCAAACTTGTCCTGGGTGTGAGCAGACAGGAGGTGGGCTGAGGTGAGTGGTTGTGATCCGTGTTGTACCCAGTTAAATTTGTCATTCCTGGAGAAAACTACAAAGCAGTTATTTCCAAATTCTTACAACTCAGAACTCGCTGTGGGACTGCTCACGCATTATATACAGATGGCATTTCAAGAGGGACAGGACTTGTGTTTCCCTGTCCTTTGGAGCATAAATGCTGAACACCAGGGCTTGCTTTGTGGGAGTACTTGTGTGACTGCCAGATGAGCTCATGGCTCCATCGGTCCATTGGTGTGTCTGGACTTGCAGCAGAAACCTTTGTTGAAGTGTGTGCAGTTTTAAAGTGTTACTTGATTTTATTCTGTAGTTAAATGTTACCGCCTCTGTGAAGACTCTGGAAACTTTTTGTGGTGTGTTTGTGATGGTATACATTGCCTTGATTTTTGCTTCTGATGTTTATAAGGAGAAGACTGCTAACCTCAGTTCTGTTCAGCGGGTGTTTGGCATACAGCTGTCTGCACTACTGTGTGCTGAAACTAGAAATTTAGGACATGATTAAGAACGTAGATATTGTGAAGATCACAGTTCCAGTGCAGCAGACTGCAGAGAGGAGCAGTCTGAGCCTTTCTCTTTGACTCAGTTTGGTAGTTCGTGTAACTGCTCAGCCAAGAGAGGGCGAGGAAACTTGTGCGGGAGCCAAAGTTACAATAGCATTCAAATGACCTTACAGCATCAAGAACTCCTCATGTGGGGAAAACGCAAATAGAACCGGCAGTTAAAGCAAGTGTGCTGGCCAAATGGTGAAGTTCTGGAGTGGGAAAGCAGACTCGGGAAAGGAGGAACGCTACGCAGATGATCAAGAGCAAAAAGGGCACAAGAGCAGGTACAGCAGTGGCTGCTGTGGAGTTGCAGTTCTCTGATGCTGTTTGAGCTCAACTTTGAGTGTAGTATGCGTGTAATGTGTGTGCAGAAACATTGCCAGCTATGTTTTCAATCAACTCAGACAGAGAGCATGCAAGTGCTGCTTTTGTGTTTTTCGGATTCCCTTAGTCTGCAGTTCAGCTGAATATTGTTTTTCAGCTGTTGTGCTGGATAACAATGCCTGGCCTCTTACTCCAGTAACGCTGAGCTGCTGTTGTACTGTCACACACAGCTTTTGTACTGTGGGGAAGGAGGAAAGACTTATGCTTTGGGATGCAAAAGTAGGGCATCAACAGTTCACGGGTGCTTGGAGGGGTCCAGCATTGCTTTTTATTCTTTTTCTCCAAATTGGAGTTGTACTTCAGAGTCTGTTAGTCCTAGTAAAATGCCATTCTGCTTCAAATGCTGTCACACTAAGGTTTTTGGTGGTTTTTGTTGTTGTTGTTTTTTGAGAATAAAACAGTAGGAATTTGAGTTACTTAAGATTTAAAGACCGTGAAAGGAACTGCTTTGGGCATCAGTTATCTGAAGTCATGTTGTTATTATTAAACAATTGCTGTGATGGCAGCAGATAAATCCGTGCAAATTTAGTCTTTGGGCTTCAAAGAAGTTGCAGTTATTTGGTATATCTACAGGATAATTTATTTGTCACATTCCAGAATCAGCAACAGAAGTGAAGGGCAGTAAACATGTTAATGTGTGTGTGTGTGTGTGTGTGTGTATAATATTACATATATATTTATATATGCTAACAGATACATTGGTAACTTCAAGCCTCATTATTAAAGTAATCCTTGTCTGGCTGGTGTGCTGGGACTTTGTTCTGGTATTAACATGGAAGTAGAGCACAAGGTGACCTGTGCTGTACTGGGGTTTGCATCATTTTATTAAGCTCATTTGAGTTTGATTTTCTTGTCTGTAGTTAAATTTGAAACCAGAACGTTCAAAGAGGAAGAAAGGAAAAAAACCAAAAACCAAAATGGTTACAAATTACTGCATGAATTTCAAAGTTATCAATTATTTTTCATAGAGCTCTATTATTTTAAGAAAAAGGGCTTAAATCTTGATGGATCTGAAAAACTTAATTGCTGTTGGACAGTTAAGTGCCTGCATTCTGGTGACTGGAAGGTGGAGAAAAATAGATTTTTTTTCCCCCTAACATTCATAGTTACTGTGAACTTTGAATACAGTTACTGTGAAATTTTAATGTAATAAATGAGGAAAAAATATATATAATTCACTGTTTCTTTTTATTGCTCCACAATTTGGCCGTCTGAACTTTGATGAAAGAATGGGTATACTGAAGGAATCTGTAAAAATGGGCAACTGCTTCTAGTCGAGTTAAGGCAGGAATTAAGTTTAACTTTTTTTTTTTTTTCCACATGTTCTTTGTTACAAAACCCATTTTATCTCTGTGCCAAAACAATTTAAAGGGCCTTTGCATGTCTGGGAGCTTTTCAGCTTTGGAACAGTGCCTTTTAGTGCTGTTCCTTTCTCTGCGATTGGCCGACTTGAGGGAAGTTGAAATTCCTTCAACAAAAGCCTTACATTTACCAGCCTTTTAGAAATGCAGCCGACTGGCATTACCTGCAGTGCTTCAAGTCCCCAGCACTCCCAAAATCTCAGTGCTGATCTCAGGCATCTGCAGGAGAGCAAAGGGAAGGAAATGAAGAATTGTCAAGTTGAGCGTCTGTAATATGACTTAGCAAATGATGGGAGTGCAATTGTAGTTGGCTGGAGACAGTTTGTATCAGGCAGAAATAACGCCTTCCTTGTTAGCTCCTTTTATGCTCCTCTTTCCCAGTCCCTGCTAGTTCAGATAGGAATGCACAGCAACCAAAGAGCACCTATATATTCTCCTAGGAGCCCTTGTCTACAGGGAGTAGACTAAATAAAAGGTGTTATTGAATGGAATTCATCAGACAGATTTACCTGATCATTTTTATGTGACTCACTTTCCTCTTGTAAATTCCTGTTTTGCTCCCGATAATGTTTAGGTATTGTTAATTCAGAGTTGCTGTTTGCCCTGTGTAGTTAACTTACCTACCCTTCTGTTCCTTTCCACTGACTGTACTTCCTTTGGGGCTTCTAATTCATCCCACAGCCATTCACAATTTGTTTTCTTTATGGGAGAGCACTTGTCTTGCACTGCTATTCTGTGCTAAAATAAGAGATTTTCAACAGATTTTGACGTAAATCCTCTCCTCAGTGTATTCTGGTCGTTGCAGTTTGATACATCTACATCTATGCTGTGGACTATTGTGGAAATAATATTTTCTGGTGAACTGCATCCCAGAATGTATCATTAACAGACTGTAGGAAGGCTGGAGGCAGAGGAAACCGCATGGAAGGTACTATTAGAAACTGCCCAGTGAGTGGGCTTGAGGTTTTGTTTAATGAGACTGGTTCTGGATGCGTGAAGGTGGCATGGATAAAAGCAGAGTAGGTCTGCACCAAAACCTGCAGACTAGAAGGAGAGCTGAATAAATTTTAATGTGATCTTTTAAACAGAACTGGAAGTATTGGAACTAAATTATAAAACATTTACTAGCCTTTCTAATGAGGATTTTAATGTGGATTATTCTGGGACAAGTAATTTCAAATATGAAATTAGAGATGGATATGTGGCCTTTTAGAGCTTGACTTCAGATTATTGCTAGTCATTACGGGGCTGTACAGCAATCAGTAGGAAAACGTGAGGATTCGAAGGGTTAGGAGGGTATTTCACACTGTGGTTTGTGGTGTTTTTAAATATTGATACTATTCTTCACCTGTGGTGCTGTTCCCTGTGATCACATCCCATCCTGAAACCCTTGCACTCTAAAAGAGGTGAAATGTGGTTCCTGATGTCGTTAGGCTTCACACTTACAGGGTTTCATCACAAAGCTGGAACTAGAGTTGAAAAATGTAGTTGATGAAGAAACTTTCAATACTTCCAATCACATGCAGAGAGAATAGCTGCCTACTTAGGCTCAGAAAATCATGTGAACTTGAAAGCCACTCAGGTGCTTAATTTAGTGGAAGACTGGCCAGAGCAGCTTAATATAGATAGCTCAGATGTCATGTGGAAATTCTAATTTAGACATGTATTGATATGAGAGACCTTGGGATTATTTTCACTCGTTCCTGGCTGGATTGCTTGTGTGTTTCCTTCTCCTTACCCTACTCCTTATTCTCAGGAAATACAGTATGCTGGCAACTGGTAATGCACAGCTACACCTAACTGTGCCAGGGAAAGTGAAGGGAATCGGGCCTACCAGCACTGATGCTCTTTCTGCATTAGCCAGTTCTCAGTGAATTCTTCAAGCTGTTTGGTCTTCAATAAACTTGTTTGGTTTCAACTCCCAGTGACTTTGACCCAGAAAGAAAAACAAGAAGAGACGTGTATCTGGTAATGATGTCCTTCAGCATGATGAGAAGTATTGGTGACTTCTGAACTGGGCTTTTCCTTCTAGTAAGTGATGCTCTTGAACTGAGGAAAGAGAACATATGTGGTAGGAAAAACACCCCTGAAAGCTGAGAGAAAAGTAGGTAAGTTTTGATGCACATCTCTCAGCCTCATCCTTCCAGTGGAAAACAGAAGAAATTTGAAAGGTTTATCCTGAAGTGGTGTGTTGGTTTTTGTTTTTAATTCTAGGTAACTGGTGGTTTACTTGCGTGCTTCCCAATGCTTTAACTTCACATCACAGCTATCGGCATCAAGAGCACAGTAATTTTTAACTAGGCTCTGAAAATTTTGTTTCTGGCATGGTCGTTAACAGAACATCAATAGGAAGGTCATAGTGCAACTGATGAGACTTGCCCTCCAATGAAAATGTCATGGGAAAAACAAATGGACGAATGGGCTCCCTCTGTATCTCTTGCAGCCATGGAAAATTCTGCTTTGCTAAAACCTCTTTGAGACTTTTGAAGAAAAAAAACACACTCTAAATCTTCACTTAAAATATCAACTTTTTTTCTTTTAATATTTTGAAGTATCACTTCAACTCTACACAGGAATTTATTGGTGATAAAACTGTCCTGTTGGTCTGGAAGCACTTTTAGATTTTAGATGCACAATTAAAAACAGAGCACATGTTCACTGTGGAGTAACTGCTGATAGCACTGCCAGGCTTCTTAAAATTAGAGCTCTTGATGCAATCTCAGCTTATGACATGTGACTGCTGATGGATGTATAGCTTCTAAAAGGGTGAGTTACTCTGGGAGGTGGCAGTGGGAAGGTTACTGTTGTTTTCAAATTAAAGTGTCTCAACAGTGGAGTAAAATATCTCCAATACAGATACTGTGAGTCGAGATGATTTTATTTTTTAAGACGCCTTGAACATTTTAGATGGCCCTTGAGCATAGCTGTGCAGTGCAGAACATGATTTCATGCAGTGTCTGAAGATGGCCTGCTTCATAGCATGTCTCTTGCATTTGTATTTACCATAAAATTGAGCAGAGTCTGTCAGTTAACATAAAACTGACATTATGAAGGGGGAAACAGGGAAGTAGTTATATTATAGCTTTGTTGAACAGTATGTTGATGCTGATTAGAAATAGTTTCCTCAGATTACTGAGAACATCTACATGGGGGGCAGCCTCCATCTCTGATTCATTTGCATTCGAAGTAGATTTTGTTCAAACTACCTTCCGAAATGCAAACCAGATGTTTTTGTTCCATTAAATGCATGCTATTAAACACAACTCTTTTTTTCCGAAGGTAGAAAAGAGAATAAGCATTCTAAAATAACTATTTTTTGATGCTAATGCATTCTTACATTTTATGCAGTGCTGTGAAAATTTCCCATCCCCAGTTCTGACAGAAACATGCCCCACGTTGCTCTCAGTTCTGCAGCTCTGAACTTTGGGTGATGAAGGATCTCACGGTTTTTCCTTGGAGAAGAGATCGTAGCATGCAATGACATAACACTCCTGGCACATGTACCACACAGAAGTGACCTGGGCAAAACTTTTAACCTC